GGCCACGCACCTCCTGCAACCCCACCGAGACCCCCGGGCCACCGTCGGCAGCTGCGTGGGGACCCCTGAGCTGCCTGGGCTGCCAAAACCCCATCGCGCTGCGTCCGACCCATCCCAGAGGGAGCACGGCACGAGGCCACGGCAGCACAAACCGTCTCTGCACCGCCAGGAGGCTGAGAAAAAGCAAAACGTCCCAGCAGGACCTCTCTGCAGGAGCCAGGGATTTGGCCCACCCCAAGGAGCGTGGGGCGCAGGGGGCCGAGGAAGACAGCGGCCGTGTTTGTACCCCTCGCCGCAGCATCACTGAGCTGCCAGGTCCGAGGGAGGGCTGAGGCGCTTGGCACAGCTCGAGGAAGGATTTTTGCCCCGGGGTGCCAGCCGCGGTAGGAGCGCGGCCAGGCTTTGCTGGGCCCAGCTGCAACCCAAGGCGAGCCGGGGCAGCTGGCCTTCCTCCGGCCACCCCGGAGGAGGAACAAACCAGAGCGCTCCCTGACCACGAAATTGCAAGGTCAGCTGGTGACAGCCCCAGCGTTGCACAGTGCAGGGCCAGCTGCCTTGGCAGGAGCCTTGCAAGGTGCTTTTCACAGAGGAAAGCGTGGCGGGTGACAGGGACACCCGTGTGGGACCTCGGCCCCGCGCACGCAGGTGGATGAGGCAAGGAGTGGGGCACACCTGGGAAAAGCGCTTCTCCCAAAGCAGAGCGCAGCGCGGGGTCTGCAAAAGGTCCAGGCAGCAAACCTGTGGCCAGAAATGCCATCAACTGGGTTATTCTGTGGGAGTTTGCACTCAAAACGGATTTTGTACTTTTTCCCTATGGCAGAATTTGCCATGGACAAAACACTGTCAAAAACCCCCGAGGGACTTTTTTTTCCCCTCAGCTTTTTTTTTTTTTTCTTTTGCAGTTGAATGAAAGCCTTGCTCCTTGCCAAAAGTCAATGTTCAAAATGGCATTTCCCCCCAGGACTTCAGGAGCTACGAGAGACAGACACACTCTTTGACTTTCGGTTAGTCTGTCACTTTCTATGAAACACGTGGAGGGACAGTTTTCCCAAGAGCCCTAGAGATCTGTGAAGCAAAACAGCCACGCTAGTGTTGCAGACTCAGATGTCTAAAACCCCTTTCTCAGAGACAAAATTATACCAGCAGGATGCAGGACATCTGCATCTCAAACCTCCCTAGGGGTGGGTTTGGCCTCAGAGCTGGCTCTCTGAATATTACCGGCTGTGCGTCCCAGCTGGGTCCTCCTTCTCTCAGGGCGAGGCCAGAAGATGGTTCACCTGCAGTAGAAACAATTGTGCTATGAGTCTGTTGGGCCTCAGCATTGGGTAACTGTGCTGGCAACGTCAGATGACATTGGAACAGACCCTGGAAACAGCTGAGAGCATGATATTGTCCTGCCTCATCCCAGCAGCAAATAACCTCAAACAGGTTACTTAAAAATTAATCTAATGCTTGTACTCTTTGTTAAAAGTGCTAAATTATTGGTGCAAGGCAGAGAAAGCCCATGTGGATTGCCTAAGGACTCTCCTGGCTGTTTAATAAATGACTTAACCACAACAACAGCAACACATTAAAGGCAGCCACAGTATCATTAGGGAAACTGGACAATAATTAACAGATAACCAGGAAGTTAACGGGCTTAAGTTCAGTTAACGTGTCAGTGTCAAGACATGATAAAGGAAGCGAGACGGAGCGAACGCGAGACAGCAGCAGTGCCTACGACAGAAGCGCTTGGTTGCTCCCAGGAGCGGGGCCAGCTCTGCTGGGGAGCCGAGGAGCAGGGAAAGCCGAGCGCCGACAAGGCGGCCAGTCTTGCCCTGCGGCAGCGGGCTCCGCCGGGCCTCGCTCTGCCTGGTTGTGAAATCAGGGGCTGCCCAGGACAGGAGCACTTGGTGACCAAGGTCCGGTGTGTTCAGCTGTGCCGTGCATTTCTCCCCCGGGACATTCCTTGGGTCTGTTTCCCTGCACAGCTGTGTGTCCACCTGTACCAGGAATCCCAAGGAAGGGATTTTAGAAACGTGTTACACCAGACGAGTTAGACATTGACCCATTGATGGGAAATGGAGTAATTTCCCGTTGCCCAAGAGCCTCTAAAGAAAACAGCTTTGCCTGGAGTGGGGATAAACTCTCCATGAGAGAAGGGAAGGTGGTAGCCTGAACAGCTAGTGAGATGTTTGCTGTCTAAGCCAGGAACAAATCCCCTGATCCCAATACTACCAATATCAGGAATTAGGGTTCAGTTGCCCTGTCCCAGTACACCTGGAGATGTTTGGTGATAGAGGTAAAGCTCCTACGCTAGCTGGTCCAGCAGCTTTCTTCCAGCACAGAGCTGCTTCCCATGTAGCACCAGCCAGCCACAGAAGACCCTTGGGTTTGGGAGACCCTATCAAAGCTCAGGAAAGACTCACCTTTAGCTCACCTTTAGCTGCTGCTAAAGTTATTCTCCCATGTTAGTTTATGCCTCTGTGAGTTCACCTGAGCTGTTCCCCTTCTGATGGGCCTGTCTCTTCTGGGAAGCTGTCCAAGACAGAGGGCTGGGTTGTGCCCGGGGAGGTGCAGGCAGCCTGATGCACTGGATTCGCACCAGTCTGGAATATGCTGCAGGGTTTGGTTTGCAGGTGCAGTTGGAACCTCGGTACTGAGGGAAGCCTGAGCTGCAGACCCCGAAAGGGACAACAGCAGGCTCACCGTGACACCTCCCTTGAACAAACATGCATGCCCTCGAGATAGGAGCCCCATCTCTGCCATTCTGCTCAGGGGAAAGTGCCCTAGACAGCTCTCCTTGGCTTATCCCTCAGCCCCGCAGGCATGGCTGCACAGGGCAGTTGTGCAATGAGATGATTTCTTTTTCTGAGCAGTTGAACAATCTCATGTTTGTCTTGTGCAAAAAGTTTCCGGAAGACACATGCAATGGCAGAAGAGAAAGGTATAAACATTGGCATTCATCCAGTCCTCTTCCCCACCCCCCGTCCTCTCCAAAAGAGTTTAAACGTCAGCGTCCCCCAGCTCATCACACTCAGACCTCACAGGGGACACAACAGCATGAAGTCCGTGGCTGCCCTCCTGCTCGTGGGGATGCTCATCCTCTGGACAGAGCTGCCAGCAGGTATGATATCTCCTTAAATAAGGTGCAGGAAGAAAAAGCCCAAAAGGCCAGGGGGGTGAGGGAAGGAGCTGCACTCACAGGCTGCAGTCAGGCTGATAGATGCTTGCAAGTGTAAAATCCAAGGGAGGAGAGGATGCAGCAAAGGCTTCATGCGTGGCAAGAAAGGTAAGGGAGAAAGAGAGGAAGGTGAACCTCTGGAGAATCTCGAACCCTGGATCCCATGGGCGTTTCACTGTGAATCAGACAAAATCATAAGACAGATGGAGGGACCAGTGCAGCCTGCCCCGGGGAACAGGGACTCCCACCTCTCCGCAAGGCTGACCTTCCCTCCCAGTGGGGCAGCCACGCGCTCCTGCTGGAGCCTAGCGCTGGGGACTGCCAGGCGCTGGCCCTGCTGCAGGCGCAGGGAGCCGTCGCCTCGTGCTGGGCTTGGGTGCAGGAGCCAGGGGGCTGCATAGAGCCAGCAGCTGTGAAGGGGCAGCTCCTTCTCATGCTTCCACCAGATGTGATTAAAAGGGGACAGCTGCTGGTCCAGGAGTGCAGTGGGAGAGGAGAGTAGAGCATGGATGTGTTAGCTACAGCACATTTCACTGGGGTCCCTCAGACACAGTCAGCCTGGAACAAACACCCCTTTCCTCCTGCAGGCTCCGCCTGGTCCTGCCCGCCTGTCCAGATTACCTGCGCGATGGCCAACCCCCCGAACCACTGCTATGTTGATTGGCAGTGCCCACCGTCCAAGAAGTGCTGCAAGTCCTTCTGTGGAATGAGATGCATGTCTCGCCCACCTGCTATCCCGATCTTCCACGGTACGGGGGAGATGGATGGGAGCGGCTCGGGTGACCTCGCTCTGGGCAGAGAGCTGCGATCAGCTTCCAGAGCCCTTCGACTTAGCCAAATTCCTAGGTTGGGGCTGCTCAGGGCACCAGAACAAACAACTGTTTTCTCTCCCTTTCCCTAGCGTGAGCTGCAGTTCCCAGGACTGGCCGAGGGAGTCCGCAGCATCCCGCGCCAGCCAGCCGCACTGACCTCTGCCAAGGATTGCCCTGCCCCATGCCAGGTGCCAGGAGGATGGGGACGGCGCTAGCCCACGCTCTGCTGTGCTCTACGTCCGCCTCGGCTCTCAGACCACCTCGCTGCCGGCTGCCGCCTGGCGCTGCACGCTGCTTTCTCACCCCCATGACCTCTCTCTCGGCTCCCTCGTTGCTGGTATAACTAATAAAGGAGCTTGTCCCAGGATTACACGGCTTGTGACTCCTTTCCTCCACCTCCTTTTTCCCTGGCCTCTGCCTCCTCACCCTCTCCCTGCCTGTTTTCCAGATCCACCCTGGGCACTCATGCCCACTTCTGCTCGCTCCCCAAAATTTCTGCTTGAGGAGAGATCAAAATGGGTCTGTCTATGGACCTAGAGTGTGGTTAGGGGCTAGGTCTGGGGAGGAGGCCTATCCAGAGGCATAGAAATCCCAAGAGGAGAGGGCAATCAGAAGACTAAAATGCCACAGGACACTTTGGGAGACTTTCCTGGCAGGCTATGACAAGCCTTGGAGAGCATGGGACACGCACCCCTAGCGGGGCAGAGCTGCAGCAGACGCAAAGAGGGATGGGACCCTCCTGCCCAGGGGATGCAGGAGGCAGAGCCGTCGCCAGCCTCCGTGCAGGTAGCAGTGATCTTTGGATAGCCAGGGAAAATAAGCATTAGGACGGCTCACAAGGGAGAACTTTATTTCCTCAACCACGTCACTCTTCTTCAATTTGTAGCTCTCAGCAAGGCTCACCCCACCGGGTGGCACACAGGGAAGAGCTGACCTTCACAGGGGGCCAGACACCCAGCCTCTTCCACCTCCTCCCAGCCCAGACTGGGAAATCCCACAGTGAAACCAAGTGGTGGCCCTGCCCACCCACCCACCAGGAGGGGGTGGGGGGCTGGGAGAGGGACTCCTGACCCGCAGGAGACAGGGAGGTGATTGCTTATCAAACAGCAACACCAGCTCAGTGCTGTTGGGACGAGAGCCCCACAGCCGAGCTGCCTCACCCCACGCCAGCGCGTCGTGCCACGTTGAGCCACGTGTTCGGCATCGTAGGCAGGAGCCAGGCTCCCTTAGGGAGCAGCGACATGGCAAGGACCGTCACCAGGTTTGCAAACTCTCAAGGTCAGTTGGCTCCTGCCCCTAAAAGGGAAAGAAACCTGCTGTGCCCCTCACTCTAAGATGTTGCACAGAGCTGTTGCTCCACTGTTTTCCCTAGTTTGGTGATAAACCCAGCCCTTTCTGCATAGTTCTGCAGAGCCCGCAAATTGCATGAGTGAGAATATTGTGCCCCCGGTGAAGTGGGGAATCCCGCAGGAACAGCCTGTCTAACCAAAAGACAGCTGGCGAAAGATATTGCTACATAAAGACGGAGCTAAGGGACCCTCCTGCACTGCATTTTAGCAGAAACTGGTTAGGTATTTAAACCAGCCACAGATATAGCAGGATAAAACCTTATGTCTGTGGCGAGGTGGGGGAAGGATGTCTTACCTAATCCGAGGCAGATGCTGAAACCTCCCTGCCAGAAGCTGGGGAGAGACAGCTCGCCTGAGCAACGTCTTCCACGGTCACATCAGGCTGGAGGAAAAGAGAGCGAGCAAAGACACACAGAAACTATCCAGTGACCGAGAAGAGAAGTGAAAGACCACCTCTCTGCTTAGCAGAGTCAAAAGAAGGCTGAGAGGTAGCTTGTTAGCGCTGTGTAGCGCCAGTGGAGGAAGAAAATGCCGGGTGAGCTAGCAGGGGAACGCAGAACAAGAACCTGGGGCAGGGAGTTGGTCTGCCAGGTTCGAGCAGGCAATTAGGTGTCACTTCTGAGCACGGCAGTGACCAACCACGGGAATATCTCTTCACATCAAAACTGCCCAAGAACCACTATGCAAAATACAGCCTCGGGGCTCGCAGCAGGCGCGCCGTTACGCGGAGCTCCCAGGGTCTGCACGCTGCCTCCAGCCGTGCCTCCCCTGAGGCAGCCCTGGCTCGCAGGGAGGCTGAGGGCTCACAAGCACGCTTCCGCGTCCCGCTGATCATCAGTCACAGATCACAGCATTGCCTCCCCCACCAGGGCGAGCTATTATCAGCTATCAAGCAGGCATTTCCATTTGGCTGGTTGATTTGATAATGCTGCAATTATTCCTCGTTTGTTAACAAGATTAAATTGCTAATTGGGTTGTTTAAGCACAAAACTGTAGGCATGGGTTGCATCTCGGCTGGTAGCACTGATGGCACCAGACAGCCCAGCCCGATGATGGCCAAGTCCAACGCAGAGGCTCCTTTGTGGAGATGAGGGCAAAGCAACAGCACAGGAAGACTTAATTCTGCAAATCACCCTCTGAGGCCTTGAAATCACAGTGAGAAAGCCTGGAGAGAGCTTGGGAAGTCTTTCCTCCTGCCCTGAGACAGGCCCCGCTTTGCCCATGGCAAACGTGTATTGCACTGACCATATACACCCACCTGGAGTTGTTTTGACAAATCTTCTCTCATCTCCCCAGGGGCAGGTCCCTACCACCATCCAGTAGGTCTTCGCTAACATCTGGCCTGCCACCACAGCTCAGGTCACAGCAGATGAAACTCACACATATCCTCACATGGAGCTAACAGCCACCTGGGCCTTTTGCCTCTAGTGTGGAAGAGCAGGGCAATGCTCCAATGCACCCAGGGAGGTATTCGCCAGAATCATGATGAACTTCCTGGCAGCATATTTTGACTGAAAATCCTTTGGATCTGGGTCACTGGTGGGGAAGGGAATTCCTCTCTGCTTCCTTGGCAAGTGCCAGGGAGATAGCTGGAAAAAAGGCAAGTCTTGTGCCAAACATGAGACATTTCCATGCTGGTCCTTCTCGCATCATCTGCTTCCCCAGGGCTAGAGCAACAGAAAGGGAGGGATTTGTTTAATCTGCCGAGGGGCTGACCACGCTCTGGGACTTTTTAGCTCAGAGATGTGCAAACTTTTCCTGGGACAAGACCACAGGGTCTGGAGCTGGAACGTGGCTGAAGGCTGCACTCCAGGACCTAGCTCTTGGGCACCAAATGCCCATCGTGGCATGTCACAGCAGTGTTGCTGTTGCAGAGAAGAGGGCCTTTGTGCTCCTTTTGCTGTTTCTTTTTCATGGACGTAACAGCTTATTTCATCTTCCCTTAAGATGGGAGTTTTTGGCACCAGTCCTTCTTGGACTGACATCAGGTGGGATCCCAAAGGAAATGTCCAACTCTCCTGGCTCCAACTCCTCCTGGGGAGCTGGTGGCCAGTGGCAGCTCCACATCTCACCACAGCAGGGCAGAGCCCAGCGTGACACAAACACACCATAACACTGGGCTGAGACCCTGGTGAGCTTGGACTTGCCCTAGTACGGGAAGCCAAGTTCCAACCCAGGCCGGAGATGACCTTACAGGGACAGAGATGTTTGAGAGGAGAAAGTTAACTTGTCCAGTGCTGGCTCCAGTGTAGTGAGCACAGGGGGCTCAGCCCAGCTTTGTGCCCTGCTTCTCCATGAGGGGAAGCCATCAGCGTCATGGAAGAAGCCTTGCTCCGTAAGGAGAAACACGCTTCAGTCCACTCCAAGAGACAGAGGATAGAGAAACGGGGTCTCATCTGCAGCACACCCCATGCACACCTGATCATCTTTATAATGTTTTATTGGAGCCTTCTCCCTGCAAATTGTATGTTCTGGCTCAGGAGACTAGGTGGTCAGGGCCTGAATACAGAACAGTTAGGTGCACAAGAGTCATGCGAGACCTTTTCAAGAGATGATTCAAACCATTCTAATAAGAATCACTACAGGTTGCAAAACCTTTGAAGGAGGAGGGTTATTCAACCAGCCTGGCCCAGGAGTGGGAACATGTCATCCCAGCAGGACGCAGCAATCACATGAAATCCAGAGGAGAAAGGAAAAACCCCAGGCTGCGCAGACCCGTGTGGCAGCAGTTCTGCCAAGCCCAGTATCCCGAATCCTCAGCTGGGGTGCTAAGCACAGCCCTGGTCTCCTCCACACAGAGAAGCTGCAGTATTTAAGAAGGGAAAAGGAGACAGTATTGTTCTGGCCTCATGATAAAATAAATAAATATACCCCTGTAGAAAAATAAACTATTGTCTCTGCTGAAGATCAATGTGTACATGAAGTCACCCTGCACTTCCTAATGTGGAGTGGATTATATAAACCTGACTCCTCACCTCAACAAGTCACATCCCAGCCACAGGAAGAGGGTGATCGCAGCCAGATCAGAGCTATCTTTCACCAGCTGAGGCTCTCTAGCATTTTCTTGCTTTTGGACACAGGGATGCCTTTTTCCTGCTCCAGAGTCTGCTTTCCTTGCCATGAGCATGCCTTGGCTTGCCTGGCAGGCTGTCACGATAACCTTTGCTGGTGCTCTGCCTGCTGCCCTCTGTGCTGACACAGGCAAGCGTAGAGGCGGACAGAGAGTTTTCCACGGCACACACTCAGCGTGGTGGAGGCAAAGGGAGCTGCTTCTGCCTGCAGAGGCAATATGCTGAATAGCTTAGCTCTCCCATATGAGAATGGCACGGGCAAAGCCATCACTCATCCTCCCCAAATGCAGCCGGGACACTGCCAGGGCGAAACAAACAGCACCAGCTCCAGCCAGCCCGGGGACGGGGATGTGGAAGCACTTCTCCTGCTGGAAAGACAAGGGACGCCAGGGCTGGCGAGAGAAGCTGGGGTTTGGGCCAAAGCAGCAGGGAGCCCTGGAGACCGCTGTAGCGGGAGCTGTTCCCTCTGCCTGGCTCGGGCATGTCACCTGGGCTGCACACTGCGTCCCTGCCTTGCACATGGTGGAGAGCCCACGGCAGCCGCTCTGGCAGGGGACAGAGCTGCGTCGCCAAGGATGCTCCGCAGGGCATCGCTGGAGTAATCCACCACAATTAGCTCCTGTCTGAAGTGCTGCCAGGTGTCAGAAACAGCTTGTGACAAAGCCCTTGGGCTGGGCACAGGACTGGCTCTGCGTGCCTGATGACAACCACGCGCATGCCAAGAGGAGGCAGAGCTGTGCCTCGCTCAGCTGTGCGTCTTGGCTCTCTCTCCCCTGTTAATCCCACCAGGAATCCTCACCAATCTGTTATTGGATGGAGCAGCACAGAGCTACGCACCAAGGAAGCCTGGAAAACGTCGGCAGGACTTTCCTGAGCTGGAGAACTGAAAGCACAGGGCTCCCTGGCAGCTCCGAGACCAGGCTGAGCACTAGTGTGGCTTCTCTGAGGTC